CTGACACAAGGGGCTGGTCTTTCTTCCAACTCAGTGATTCTGTTTTTTATTTAAAGGGGTCATATGATGTGATTTCATGTTTTCCTTTCTCTTTGAAGTGTTACAAGCTTATGTTACTTGGTGCATAAAGAAGATCTGTAAAGTTGCAAAGACTAAAGTCTCAAATCCAAAGAGATATTCTTTATAAAAGTTATAGAGGACCTACAATAATGTACAGTATTTGAAAAATAATGTGTTTTTTGAACATTAAAGCATGTCAACATATTCTGTTACACCAAATACACAAAATAATGATCTTTAAAATAGCATCATATGACCCCTTTAATTTTTTTCTGATATGTTGGTGTTTTATCTTTCACTTGGATGTTATAAGTTGCACTGAGTAAATACAGCTGGATAAAACAAAATATCTGTCCGTCTTCATTTCAGGCTGCAAAGCAACAAAATGTGGTTATATTAAAGGGGGGTGATTCTTTTCTATACCCACTGTACAAAATCAATAAATGCAACATTTTCAGTGGCAACGCAGCACTCGCCCAAAATGGCAACTGACCATTCTGTCAATTGGCCTAAGACCCCTGTTTATTTACCCCGAACCAGTGGGCCATTAATTTTTTCTTTTTTCCTTTTTTATTTATTTATTATTTATGAATTTTTTTTGGAGCCTTGCACTAGTGGTTTGCACCTCAATTCTTTTAATGTTCGAAATGCAGATGAATAAACATTAAATCAACAGTTAGTTTGCTGCCAATGCAAATCATGCATTTTAGCCATGGAATTTCAATCCAGTGTTCTTTTTTCTCACACTTCTGGACAGATTTTTGAGGTGGCAACCAACACCAAGATAAAAGACCTGGTCCAGACCATTGCTAATAAACTCATGTTGTCCTCAGCTGATGGTTTCAGCCTCTTTGTGAAAACTCCTGATAAGGTTTGTACCCAGGCTACCATGGTTGTATTCAGAATCTTAAACCAATAGTTTAAGAAGTGACTATTTAAAAATCATATATCAGTAAATATCTTAGTCTGATTATTGGGAGAAGCATTGCCTCCATGGTGTCTACAGTTGTTACAGCTCTGCCAATGATCCCTTGTCATGTCCTTTCACTAATTTACAGCTGCATTTTTACAAAGCCTTTGTCTGTATGTTTATCTAGCATTTTCTTTCTGTCAGGTTCTGAGTCTAAATGAAACTGACTACATCTTTGACAGCCTGAGGCAGATTACTGACTGGTCCAGGAGAGCAAAGAGAGTGAATCAGGGTAAGTCTGTTTCAATTTTGGTGAAAACTTTATTAGGTAATTTTAATCTCTAGATCACTGATTGAGGGGGTGTTTACACAACACCATTTTCAACTAAAAACTGCGTTTTGACCTTTCATTTACACAACAATGGCATTTTGGGGGCCTGCAACTCAAACCTTTGAAAACTACACCATTATCATCACTGTGTAAACTACCAAAATGGAAATTTGTGAAAATGATGGCATCATGTGCATGCATATTACATGTTCAGTCTATAAGTATGTGCGAAGGTTCGTATTGTTTCTTTTCTTTTACTACTGGCCTGGCATGCGTTTTTAGTCATTTTCGTAGCTCCGTGTGAACGGGGATTGTTTTGACAACATTGTCGTCTGTAATGGAATATTATCAATAATGCAAAGGAAAAACGTTTCTGTTTTTAGTACATCATTGTCATGTAAACATACCCTAAAAGAAACAAGTTTGAGTCAGTCAACAGTTAAGTCAAATTCAAAACAACCGCTAATGCTTATACTGTTTTAAACAGCAGGCAGTCCAGTGAATGTATCTTACACAGTTTACTTTATGAGAAAACTATGGTTCAGCATTGTCCCTGGTAGAGATGTGGAGGCGGATCTCATCTTCCATTATCCACAGGTACAGGCAATCTGTACCACGTTTTTAAAAAATACTTGGAAATGTTTCATTATAGCTTCCCTGTAAGCATTGAAGAACTTTATATTATAAGGTATATGGTATTTTTCCATATTTCTCACACTATCTAGGAGTTGCCCAAGTACTTGAGAGGTTATCATCGTTGTACCAAAGAAGAAATGGTGATGCTCGGCGCTCTATTATTCAGAGTGAAAGTGGACAATGATAAAACTCAGTTTCCCATGATTCCTAGGATGCTGAAAGACCTGGTGCCTAATGACCAGCTTAAAGCCATGTCTGCTGATGAATGGAAAAAGGTCAGTTTCAGTACACTGCAATTCTGTGCATTGTGCAGTGCATAAGAGATATTGTGCTTCTAAAGTGTTTCTTGTACATAACCATTTTTCAACAGCACATTGTTGCTGAGTACAACAAGCAAACAGGCACGAATGTGGAGCAGGCAGTGATTGGCTTTTTAAAGATTATCTATAAATGGCCCACATTTGGCTGTGCCTTTTTTGATGTGAAAGTAAGCAATTTGAGTCTGTAGCACAATAAGAATTTTGCAAATATTACTTAAAAAAATGGTGTATAAGATGAATCTTGATTTTACAGCAAACATCAGAGCCCAGTTTCCCCGACATTGTAAGGATTGCCATCAGTAAACAGGGCATCACTATCATTCACCCCAAAACAAAGGTATCATCAATCGATAACTCGTTTTTCTCTCATTTTAACTGCTTAGCATGTGATTTCCCTAAACAAGATTTGTATAACACCTCAGACGAGTGTAAGCTTGAATCTTAAAATATGAATCATGTATCATAACTCTGTCTTGACTTTTAATTTTGTTGGACTAATTGAATTCACCTTCTGTTTAAGGACATTCTGGCAGTGCATCCATATAACAAGATTGCAAACTGGTGCAGTGGAAGCACATACTTCCACATGACTGTAGGAAACCTTGTCAGAGGGAACAAAATCCTGTGTGAAACTTCACTGGTAAGTGACACAGATTTGGCAATTTAGCAGCCATTATTCCAATTATTCTAATATGCTGATTTGGTGCTCAAGAAACATTTTATATTATAATCAATGGAAAAAAAAAAAAAAGATCACTTTTATTCAGTAAGGATGCTGATGTAAAGACATTAAAGTGACAAAGTGAAAAAGACATTTATGATGTTTAAAGATTCTTGCTTTTCATCAAAGAATCCTGAAAAAAAATCACAATTTTCACAAAAATATTAAGCAGCAAAACCTGTTTCCAATATTGAAGCAGCATATTAGAATGATTTCTGAAGAGTCATGTCACACTGAAGACTGGAGTAATGATGGCTGAAAATTCAGTTTTGCCATCACAGGAATAAATTACATTTATATTAAAATAATATATTAAAATAGAAAACGGTTCTGTTAATTATAATAATATACCAGTTGTGTGTGTGTGTGTGTGATATAAATATATATAAAAAGATCATTTTTGTCAAAGTATAATTTTTCAGATCTTAAAATAATAGAATTTTATCCTGTGTTCATAAGGGCTATAAAATGGATGACCTGCTGACTTCCTATGTCAACATGTATCTTAATGAGAAGAGAGAACAAAGACGAAATCAACACTTTGACTAAAAATAACAGACGCGTAGTTTGTCAATTTACTGTGCTTTTCTTTTAAAGGCATACATTCACATATATGATAAAAACATAACCAATGAAATGTTTTAAAAAACATGATTTATCAAACTAAATAATTGTCTGGTTTTATTTTTCAGTGTGATATGCTATATATTGCAAAATGTGTAATGCCAACGGTTGTTTATGATCAGTTGTTTTTCTTAATATGCTGCCAGAATGTGAAGACTGTAATTTCAATCAGATTACTGGTTGACTAATATTTAATGATATAAATTAATCATTACAGTCATTGGATCATATTGTTATTGATGCATTTTAAGTTGTTGTTTTTTTTTTGTTTTTTTTTGAGTGAAATTGTCAAATAAATGACTATGAGGTGTAACTCGGAGCAATTGTGCATTGTGATTATTTGCCATAGAGCCAAATGTTTTCTGCGTGTGTTTGGAAAATGGAATTCCATAAGCCTTATACTTATGTTGTTTGTCATGTTTAAAAGCAAACTGTTTCAGCTCATGAATCTGACAGAAGATGAGTTCTTCTCTGTTACACTGTGTTTTGCCCCAGGGCAACAAAGTCTCGAGGGTGCAGCATATAATGAGGCTTGGAGATGTCCCAATTAAGACTTGGCACTGTATTATTTAGCCTATTCTGGTAGAATAGAGGCAACTAGATAGTGGGCTCATTCAGTAAAGCGAACTATATTAGCATATCGTTGAAGACGGGCCCAGACTGAAGAAAAAGACATGATGTGTGTCCTACACAGCTGTGATCTTCCAGAATGAAAGACAGATTATTGCTCTTACTGTTCGCTTGGGGCTCCACATCTGTCTGAGGATCACGTGCCCTTATTTTTGCTCTGCTGCTAGAATGTATGATGCCCCAACAGTTCACAGCAGGGAACCGAGAAACAAGGACCCCAGTCTGTTATTCTCGGTCCTACTTGCCCTTGTGATTTCAACTCAAATTTCTTCTCACTCATTCTCTGAGTTCCAAGGGGCCTCGTCTGTCTGGCTTTCCCCAGTCTACAATGGATAATCTCTGGTCTTTATTCATAAACTGCCCCATTAAATGCTCAGTTCATCTTCTGTTTATTGATATGGTTGAAGGAGGGGGGTTTCAGAGGTGGGGGGGGGGGTTGTAACCTAAAGGCATGCTAGTCCCTGTTGCCATGGTACCCCACTGGCTCCACATTGCTAGCAAGGCATGCCATTATTCTCCCCCTGTCGAAATGTGCCGCTTCTTCTGACTCGGGTAATTGTGGAGCGCACAAGTGGCCCTCAGAAGAAAATAGCATTGCAAAGAAAGGCTGAGGTCAAGGGTCACATTAGAGCCTTCCCATTGCAAACCGCGTTTTTGTGATCAAATTAGTTGGCGACACAAAAAGAGCCACAGTATCGTATCTCAAACACAGCTCAGCCTGAGAGAGTAGTCTCAACTCCATTAAACTCCACTGCTGCTCAACAGAAGCTGCTGGTTCGCTCTGGCTTTTCAGGCAGCAGAACTCTCTCTCCTCTGCTCTGCTCAAGACCGTCACTACTGCACAGGCTGTTGAGGGATCAACACTCTGGTGAGTCTCTCATTTACTCTCTCAGTGTCTGCTGTCTGGCTCAATTGAAACTTGTTTGCATATATTCTTTCAAATTAATCGTTACACATTTTTAAAATTATTTATATTTGTATAGAAACATTTTTTAAGTGACCATATGGTGTTTTCCTAGTTTATGTGCATGCCATTTTTATGTTCTTTTTGTTGCATCTAAGGTGAGTTTATTGGTTAGAGGAAAAAGTCTTTAAAAGGTCATTTTAGCACTGCAATGTAAAGTAAAAGGTTTAGGATTAGTTTGCTTTGCTTGAATGAGCAAAGTAAGTCAATCACATCAGGGAATCAGATATAAAAAATGTAATACAGGAAATGTTGTGCTGCATTTGCTTTCTTGTCATATTTTATGTATTTGTGCATTACTGTAAAAAAAAAAAAAAGGGTTTCCTATGGCTGTGTTTTACCTTGAGTTCTGGAAGCGTGTTGGTCCACGCAGAGCTGCAGTTCAGCTTTAGTTAATAGGAGCATTAGTGTCACATTGCAACCCCAGCTTGACCCCCACTTATTTCTTTAACACAAAAGTGATTTTGTATTGTTGCCAGCCTGTGGAGAAGCCTCGTTCAAGACTTTCGGGTTTGGAGCGTATTTTCAAGACGACCACGAAACACTTGGACTGGTGCTGCTGGATTATACTTTTTCATTTGAAATGCCTTTTTTTGTGTGTCTGAGTAAATGTGTTTTTCCTGGACCACACAATATAGTTTCATACCACACGCCAGAGAACCAGAACCATTTATTAACATCTGGATTTCTCAATCGCAAATCACGCCTTTTGTCTCCAAGCGCAGTTCAGGACAGCTTCTTGTTTTATAGTTCTCTACTTTTATCTGTTTATATTACTGGAGGGTTTGGCATGTTCTGGGACTTGAGGATTTTCCTCCCCTTTGTTTACAAATTCCGCAGCACTTTCCTATGGCAGGATCTTGAGACACTCCTTTGTACACACCCACTTTGTGTTTGTCTGTAGTGTTCTGAACATATTGATAAAGTGCCTCCCCATTATTCCAGCTCCAGTGAGAGGTTATTGTGAAACGTTTTGGTAGCATATTTTAGTTATGAAGAAAGGCATCTTTCAGAGAAGTATTCCAAAGCGTGTGGAAAGGAAATTCAGTATTCAATTTGTTTTGCTTTCTGTGAACATTTTAAACATTTTATAAATTCAAACCCAAGGCCTCTATTAACTTTAAATTCAAACCACTGATTTTGCATTTGGACTATCAGACCAATAAGAATGCCAATACTTCCTCATACTTATTCCTTAAACATGTGAGTTTATTTAAAAAAAAAAAAAAAAAAAAAAATCTAAATGTATTCCTAATTATTTGTTTGTTTGTTTGGTTAGAATTATTCATTTATAAATAGCGTTATGTCAACCCTGCAGATGCTTCTCTGATGCAGCTCAACCCTGCAGATGCTTCATTCAGCCTGGTTATTAATAGAGCAACTGTTATTGAATGGCGGGTTAGAATGAATGCTTCTTCCAAACACAGTTTGCTCATTGAATCTGAGGCAGGCTGCCCTGTGCACACGCCAAAGATTTGACAAACCAGAATGCCATGAGGACAGCTGGCTCAGACTGTAAGCAGATAGCCAGGAGTGGCTCTGGTTTGGGATGCACCAGCACCTTCATGCAGCGTAGCGTGTGTGGAGGTGCAATGCGTGTGTAGTCGCCTGCTCCAAAGGGACATCTGCTCAGACTCCTGAGACCCAAATATCTAAGCATCTGAATTGCTGCCAAACACCCAGACAGCTGTAACGCACCCTCCCTCACTACTCAAAGTGCACAGAGAAGGATACATTTTTACTGCTGCTGGAATAAAAGTTGTTACTTGGTCTATCACTGCTGCATTCTTTGCTTCATTTTTGTAAACATGTTTTGACAACGGGCAACTTTGGAAACGTATTCCCAAAAGCAGATGTAATCTTGTGCTTTTCTGTTCTGTTCTATTTTCAGTTTTCATTTTGATTTCTTGTCACAACTTTTTGGGTTCCATGAAATTAACTTGGATGCAGCATAGGTTGGTTTGGATATGTGATGGGAGTGTGTGCCAAATGTGGACTTTATTGTTGAGCTATCCATTTTTAATGTGTTTTGTCAAAATGTTAATAATTTATAGCTAGCATGCATGGCTGCTGCTCCCTACATGGAAATTATGCAATCTGTCTAGGGGATCAGCTCTCTAGGGACACCATCTGATACATACATTCATACATGCTTAATATTTCTGTAGAACCGGTCAAACTTTTTTTTTCAGTATTTTTTCAATATTAAGTTTAAAAGAACACCATATGTTTAAATATGTCTGTGTGTGTGTGTGTGTATGTATATATTTATTTTATTTTTAATTTCTACTGTCTATCAATTTAAGCCATCCTAAAGCCATCATTTTTATTTAT